AAAAAAAAAAAAAAAAAACCAGCCAAAAACCCAAGAGGACCTAAAATTTTTTAAAAAGCAAAAGGTAATAATAATCTTAGTAGTATAAAGGACAGCAAATCGCTCAGAGTTTCTGTATCTTTTTAGCTATTTTAGCAGCCACCCTTTTTGTCTGCAGAGGGAGAACTGCCACCACAGCCACCTCCTCGGCTTGAGAGAGGCTCTTCTGCATCGTCCTCGTCAAAGCCATGAAAGGTCGAGGTGTCGCTTTCTGACGTGGAACCGAACAAGTCCTCCGCAGTGCGTGCTGGCGCTGCTTCGTCCCTCCTGCCTTCTCTTCCCAAATGAGCTGACATGTATGATGAATATATCAGCACATGGGTTAAGCAACAGGCATCATCATCATAATTTTTTTCATCATCATTATCATTAAACAAGTCAGACTATCAAGCTCACAGGTGTGTGCTTGTTTGTGCCCGCGCACCCCAGCAACATAGCATAAGTAGAACTGCAGCGAGAAAAATAACAAAGGATCAGTTTCTCCTTCGGAGAAAAAAAATCTACAAACACCACAGGTGCCCATAGCTACAGCAGCGAAAGGGTTAATCATGTTTTCCTCTCTTCAAAAGACGTYAAAATATTTCCTCACGATTACTTGGATCAATTTTTTAATCTTTTTAAACCATATAAGTAATGAGACACTGTTAGCTCTAAGCACAATGGCATCAACTGTCACAAATTTTCTGCTATAGAAATGTAARCCACTAGATACCTCCTCAACCTCAGGACTACTTTTTATCCTCATTCTTCACCTGATCCTAAAGAACCTCCTCTGTAGACAAAATGAAATACATTTTGAAGACTAAGTGAAAGTAACCTAAACCAATACTTTAATACAAATTTCATTGTGTGTCCTTCAAAAATAGAAAAAAAAAAAAAAAAGCCAAAATTAATAGATATAGTTCAGCAATTAAAACAACTGAGATGAGGAGTAACCCATCTTGGGGAACACTGAAAAGTTCAAATTTGTGTGAATAAATCAAACTTTTGAAATGGAGCAGGAAATTGTCCACACAGAGTATCAATAACGGCCACAACAACCAAAAGAAGACTCTTAAAAAGAGAAGTCAAATACWGAAATCTGTGAAATTGAGGTTTGTTTTCTCTCTCAGTCAAACTTCTAACRTGATTAATAGTACAACCTTCAAATTCCCTCTTCAGGGAAGGTAGTGAAAAAATGTCTCTTGTGCCCCAGCAAAATTAAAGTGTGAGATTTTAGGGAACAGCTATTTTGTTATTCATGAACAGTAGCATGGTATTAAGCAACCAACTACTGGGTCCCTGCTCCAGCTACAGGAATCAGCCATATAACAGGTACACCGCATTGCTTGAGACATAAAGAATTAAATCCTGTTCACAAAAAAGAAAATGGATATAATAAAATAATTGGCAGATGAACTATCTTGTAGAAATGTGATTTTACTGATTTTTGTGAACAGAAGAAACAGTATAATTTCCATGACCTCTCTTTCAGTATAATGAAAATGYTCTCTATTATTATAAAAGTGAAAGATGGCAGACACCAAAGAGGTTTTGTTGYTTTAGTTTAGAGATTAGTGAGTGGTTATACCTTAATCACTTCCATCACACATCAGTCATAGCATTGCAGACCCCTATGAATGACCCAAGTGGGTCCAAATTTCTATAAAGATAGCRTTTAATGGAACTGATTTTGCACAATTTAGGCTACATGCTGATCTACTTGTTCTATCACACTAACTAATCAAGGGAATGAATGTATTTGTGTGGCACTCTGATATAATCACCATTGCAATGCTTAAGTAGCAATAAAATATGGATCCATTTCCCTGTGCCATAGAAGGACAATGCTGAAATTAGTTATATTGAAATATAACAATCAAGGCGAAGGGCAATGATCTTCTAGGATGGCACCTTAGACCCCATGAACTTCCCCCTTCAGTTATTAGAAGAATCACATATACACTAAGTCCATGTCTCTGACTGCACAGCATTCCTAAGAACGCCCCTGGAGAAAACCARAGGGGTTGCCATTGATTCTCTGGTGACCAGCATCATTTCAGAATATCTTCAGAGGTCACAACAACTGCAGAAGGCAATTTGCCAGTGAGAGTCTATTTGTTCTCCCACTGAATGTGGTAATAGGCCTACTATGAATTTCAGCAGAAGCATAAAAAGGCCATTTCCTTGGCATGAGAACATTCCACATCACATTTCAGCCATAAAGCAACAGACATTTTTCAATGACTACAGTACAGAAGGAGCAGCATTCATACTGAATTTCAAGGCCTCTTTGGTTTTCAGATTTCCATATGATCGTCTTATTACCACTAGTATCACCACTGTACAAAAATACCACAGGTGGAAACTTGGACCAAAGCTGGAATATGCAGTTGTTAAAGGTCTCCCATTCCCTCTACCACCACCACTACCTCCTACATGAGTTATAAATAACTGTTCAGCTGTATAAAATTTTCCAAAAAAAGATAAAAGAAAAAAAAAAAAAAAAAAAAAAATAAAAAAAAAAAAAAAAAAAAAAAAAAAAAAAAAAAAAGAAAGAAGGAAGAAAACAACAGCCCAGAAACAGACAACTCAGAATGGGAAAGACACAATTGCCTACATTTAAAAAGAGAGAAGGGAAGAAAAGGGAGAAATAAAAACCTCTTTAAACAAAACTAATGATAGTCATCTTGTAAGAGGATAATTCTTGACAGCTACCCCCATACCAACCCTGTAATTTTCTCCGTCTTGCTTTTTTGGATGAAGAAATGCATGAAATGTGTAATCAATGGAAATGCTTGTCATGCAACTTTCATAAATCTTGTAAGTAATTTATAGTTGTAATTGCAGCATTTAGAGACAGAGACCATYCTTTAAAATTGTCACAGGATTTTCTCCTTCCATGTGAAGAACAACTAGTACATGTACCAAGGTTCCCAAAAGCCAATAAATACATTAAAACTTCATTATTTCGTAAGACCCCATTAGCTTAAAAATGTGAATCCAGCAATGGGGTTTATGATACAAAATTTTTCAGTCATCCTTTCCCACAAACACAGAGGAGAGATTAGATTTCATCTTCTATCCCTTCCCAAATATGCTGCCTTTCTTCAAAATCTTCAGAAGGTGCAAAAACGAAATCACACAAATGCCTTTGTACAAGAAAGATGCAAGAAGGAGTCACCTACCAGAGCGCCCACAGTCTGAGCATGATACAAGTTCCTCAGGCCGGCCACTTTTTTTRTTCATATTGGAGCCTCCGAGGCAGAAGTCACAGTAGTTATTGGGAATGATGACCCCATCTGGTCCTTTCTGGGCTGTAGTTGGGTTAGAAATCAGATTTACTCAAAGGGCATTAATTTGGACATTTACCCCTTATCCTTGATATGGTGTGAGCTCAGTGAATTTGCAAGCCACTGTCTTCCCAAAACATTGTCATTCAGAACAAAAAGTGAACTGAATAAACCACCCCCATTTGAAGTACACYCTGGATTGTATCTATTTTGCCTGAAATGCCCTTCACCATTTCCTTTATAATACCAGCCAGGCTGCTCCCTCTCAAGGACGTGCTTCCAGATATGCCTTTATGGCTCAGGGACTTTGTAATATACACAGCTGTAGAGACAATCTCTAATGCAGAATAAGACCYATGTTGTCAGTAAGACAAATTTGGATTTTCAGGCAGCAATCATCATCATAAACSCACAAAATACAAATCCAGAAAAGAAAAATATAATCTCCAAAACTCAAAAATCAACAACAGGAAGATGGCGGGAAAGGTACCCTTACTGGTTTTATTTCAAGTAGCTTTTTAGGGGACTACATCTCCAAATGGCAGGGTGTCCTTAGTCAGAAGGTTGGTTCAGAAGCCCTAAATATTCACAGGCAAAGCCATATRGGGATATTTCACCCAAGATTTAGGCCACCTGCAGCACTCATGTTCCATGGGATGAGCAGGGAGGGCAGCAGGTCCAACACTATCCCAGCACCCAGCACAGGTGCAGAGTCAGCCTGGGGCAGACGTCCCAGCCAGCAAAATGAAAACACCTTTCAGCCAAGAGAAAARAATGAGATTATATTCTTTTCCAGCTAGGAATACTTGGAAAGGAGGAGACACTGATCTTAAGGAGAGGAGGAGGCAGATCCCCTAGGAAGGAGAGAAGGGCAGAGAGGTCTTCTGCATTCCTCTTGGTTGAGCAGAACAACAATGTCCTTTTTTTTTTCTTTTTCACAACTGCCGTTTTCCTCCKCTGCTCTCCAGAGAGGGAAAACTTCTTGCTGTACACTGTAACTATGAACTGGGGAAGGGAATGGAGGTAATGGCTGGTCTTCATCTTTGTTTCTTATCTTTGATCTTAAAAAATCCAGTTATATACCAATAGGTATACCTGGCCTAAGCCTACCCCATGAAGAATTTTACAAATGAGAAAAGGAAGAACTTTAAACTGTACCATCTCTATTTAATTATCTTTTTGATGCATATTTTGAAACTTGCAGATTTTTAACAGATGCTTTGACAGCCTTTATTAATGGTCTTTTTGTCCACATTCAAATTTCCCCCAAAGAACAATGACATTCTAAAGGGCTTCTGGTAGCAGTCCAAGACATACACTTAAAATTAAAATTTCTTCCAAGTTCAATCTGCTTTTCTGGTTTGGGTGCATCTAGTTATTCCTTTACTTCCAGCTGCTAATTAGCTGAACTTTTGGAGATTGTGAAGTGAAAGWTTCCAGGTAAGGTGAAATTAAGAAGAAAATTAAAACCCATAAGGCTGCAAATTGCAATCTTGCAATATTGCAATCTTCCTCTGTGGTCATGGAGACCCTGACTGTATTTATTAAACAATGGACTTTGCTCTGAAATTATTCTGGTTAACAGATCCCCAATTCTCTCAAAACCGAAGAGGAGTTCCCAGTATTAGATTAGCATTTTGTCTGTTCCAGAAAGGCATTTAATACACGCATGCAAGATAAGCAAAAAAATGAACAGGAACCAGGTGGAAGTCTAGCACACCGGCTCATTATAAGAGCTGTAACAAAATGATCATAAAGTTGCTGCTTGTATATATTTTGGTATAAAAAAGCAGACRTCCCTAGCATTTATATTTCCCACTGCAGCCCCATTTTGAAAAAGTTAAGTAATTACCTTTTTATATTATTCCGCATCTACAGACAGGTCATGTGCAATGCAAACTCAGCAAGCTCAGCATTCAGTAACTTTTTTTGTTKTTGTTCCTTACTACATTATTTTGCCTTTCATTCAAGTATCTTGAAGTGCCTCACAGATAGGAAGATCYTATCATTAACCTTTAGGGAAGTCAAAAGCCTCTTTTGCCATTGACTCTAACCAAAGGGTTCTAGAYCCTAATTAAGTCTTGTGCTGAGGTCACATTGCATTTTAAAGCTGAAAGACTTGGAGGTAGAGTGCTAAACTGGCTTATTCTCAAACACACAAAAATTCTGTGGTGAGGCCACAAATAAAAACAAGCAGTTGGAGTGCCCGCCAGCAGACGTAGGAAAGAGCTCCACTTCTACCACTGCTCATAATGGTATAATTAACACTCTGCATATACTGACGAATTTTTTCTGTGGTGTGGACCATGACCATAAGATCCAGTGACTATCAAACTGGAAATGGGACAGGGGGGCTTTGTGAAAATACATACATTGATCAATTCATCTGCAGTGTGTGGGAGAGGTGGAGGGTATTTGTTGAGTGTGATAAAGCTAAAGGGATTTTCCCAGACTATTGGCAAGGGAATAAACATGGGATTTGATTGCTTCTCTTTCTCTTCTCTTCTCTTCTCTTCTCTTCTCTTCTCTTCTCTTCTCTTCTCTTCTCTTCTCTTCTCTTCTCTTCTCTTCTCTTCTCTTCTCTTCTC